TAACTTTTCATCAACAACAACAACAATAACAATAATAATAATAATAATAATTCAATGAGACTAATTAAAAATAATTTGCGTTCTGTTATGACAAATGCTCATTTAGATAGCCTCATGATGGTTGGAATACATCGTGATAGGTGAAGCAACCTCGACCATGACAGCATGGTTGACAGATTTCATGCAAAATTTCCAAAATATAGAATTTCACTTTCAAAAATGGGGATTTGAAAATAAATTAGATGGTTACATTGCATACTCTTTGTTTCTTGCTTTATTCAAAATGTTTTGGTTTTGGAAGCTGATTTCAACATTAGAAAGCATAACCTACATGAAGTCATATTATAGTAACTCGATGCCTATCAAATAAGTAATAAAAATTCACCATAATTCATCAAATATCCGTGGCTTCCAGGGGGCTTCGCCCCTTGACCCCCACCGGGGGCCCTAGGCGGTTCCCCCGACCCCAGCCAAATGAGACTCGATTCGCTCCACTAGCCCCCGTCGGGGCCGTTAGCCCCTCCGTCGGGCAGGTCCTGGCGCCACCACTGGCGCAAATGCCGAAAAAATTACCGAAAAAACGATCGTTTTCGTATTTTTTTTATTTTTCAATCATAAAGCGCACCACCAACGTTATATTGCCATAGGGAAAACCATCTGCAACAGTCAAATGCTGTTTTACTATACTCAATCGGTAGCAAAGGTCTACAGAAGTTAATAAGAGATAGGAATGGACGGGAGTCTTTCCGTATGAAAGTGCATATTGAGCAAAATGTTTCGTTATCTGACGTTTTGAAGCGTTTTTCAAACAGGCAAATCCAGGCCTGTGCTGGCCTAGGCCTACACGACGAGGTCCAGTGGGAAACGTGCTCGGCGGCAGTTGGTGTAGGCTTAGGTCTAGGCAGGATCGTTTAGGCCTCCCCGAACAAATTCGACCGCGATGTAGGCCTTGTCTCTTATACACATCTAGATGTGTATAAGAGACAGATGTTGAAAGGTAGGCCTATGGTTTATATATATGTAGGAGAGGTTTTGTATAGGCCTATATAGCTGTACACATGACTTTTACTTCTGGGAACTGCAAGAAAAACAACATTGGTTATGAATATACAACACTACATAATAATTGTACCTAAAAATGCTAAAATTTAAACTATTGATGAATCTTGTGCGTAACACAAAATATTTAATAATTGAATTATGATCTGCATTCATAATTATAAGTACCAAGACGGAAAAGAAATAAATAAATAGAATAGAAAAAAAAAAAATAAATAAATAAATAAATAAAATAAAATAAATTAAAAAAAAAAAGGAAAAAAAAAAACTATAACAATGAAGCATTTGGATCAAAATTCGTTTGGATCGATAAGACATAGCATATCGATGGTGGGGAGAATGGTTTTGAGAGTTTTCGTATTTTTATACTTTTTTGTTATTTGCTTCTTATTCACTGCTTTATTTTTTCCGCCCTCTGGAGTTTACTCATTGCTTTATTTGTTTTCGCCCGCTGGGTTTTAATTTGGGCATTTTTATGTTAATTTATGCAACATTCTTTTCTATGCCTGATTATGTTGAGGAATAAAGTGGTGAGTGCTACTGTTATCGTTGTTAGAACAAGTGTAGTAATAAAAGTGATCGGAATCGAGATTATAGAGTTGAATTTTTTTGTATTCGTGAAACCACTTACACTATTGTTTTGCCGTTAAGAAACAGTCACAATCTACGTCACTGACAAATATACATTAGGCCTAAACCAAGTTTATTTTGTAGTGTATTTTTCTTTGGCATATAGTGCTCAACTTTTTGTTGTTAATAAATGTTTTATCTATGTTAAATTTGTGATTAAGTAATTCATTTAAAGAGTCATATTTTAGTTAAAAAGTTTTATTAGGATGCGTGCAGAAAGAATATTGATCTGCGGAAAAGTAAGATTAACCACCCCCCCCCCCGATTTTTTTAAACTTTTTTGGAGATGTGACGCTAAACAATGCAATGCATCATTTCGAGATCTAGTTTCTTGTATACTTGCTCATTAGGTGTTGCTTTACTCTAAAAATTAGCAAGTCCAATTAGTTTCAAATTTGGTAAAATGCAATGAATGAATTTGGTGACTATTAATTATCGCTATTCCCAAATTTATGTTTAGTTTTTGCGTACAAAGGAACGTACACACCCACAGGGTTCTGGTTTCTTTTCAAACCGTGCTGTACCGCACGATTTTACATTAATATTACGATATTACTTCCAAACTATGGTTCGAACGCTTATCTTGGTGATCTGCAGCAATTACATTGCTTAGATGTTCTGCCCGTAAATATACAGTTCAGATAGGAAAAAATCATTGAAATTATTTGAAAAAGTTACAGAAATAACTACAGTATTAGGTCTATTCTAAAATATTGTGTGCAGTTAGGGATTTCAATTCAGTTCGAAAAAGGTTTATTCAAATAATGTATTGGCAGTAAAAAAAATATAAATTTTACATTTCCAAACAAGCATCTTCGACACATTATCTCAGTGACAATCTGATTGGAATATTCGCTTTTATAAAGAGATTTTTAAAAAATGGGGGGAGGGGGGAACCCATTAAAAATAAGGATTTGTAAAGGTCACAGGCACATGCATAAAGAAATAATGATTATGCTGTATTGTAAATAATTAAATTCATTGTACATTTTAACCGGGTTGATTCGCAAGTTTTACGTTATGGAAAAAAATGTTATAGCCAAACTTCTTTTATAGGCCTCGGGAAGGAAACTGCAATATTATATTACCCAACTGCCATCCCAAACACAGGTTTGTCGTCAAGTATTATACTTTGTAGGCTTAACTTATGGCCTAAGTCTAATGTAATTATTCATTACTTAAAATATAACATGATACACCAGATGGCATAGTTGATGATAACTCTAAGATTGGCCTTTAAGAGGGACCAGTCCTTGGACCAGCCCTGTTTCACCTTTGGCTCATGCTCTACGCTATATTATCAACATTTTCAATTATGGAAGATAATATTATTAATAGAAGTGAGTTTTCAAATACAAGCGTAATGATCGACTGGATCGATCTAAATAAAAAAAAAACTATATCGATTAACCCTAATCGAACCAGAATTGTTGTTTGGAGTCATGATTGACTACAATAGTAGGGCTATTCATAATGTAATAAAAACGACAACAGCAATAGGAACAACATTATAAAATTATTTACAACTTTACTTTGTTCTTGAGTGTCGGCTTTAATCAATATTTTAACTTGAGAAAAAAATCTCATTTTGGTTACACAGTCTTAGTATTTTTTTCAAAATAACAGCACTTCATTTTCTATTGATAACATCATATGGTTTTTCTTAAAATTTAGAACATAATTTGTTTGGTTTCTGTTTTAATTTAAGTATTACCTCATCACTCTCTTGTACATCAGATCAGGGGCGGCGCCACCGGGGGCGGGGGAGTGGTCTTAACCCCCCCCCCCCACTTAATCGGCCAAAGCTCGTCGGGCAGTCGGAACAAAAAAAAAATAGGCTTAGTTTTCCCATCCCAGTACTGTACATACAAACAATTATTGATCAGGTTTGGTGAGTCTATAAACATACAAGTTTGCTTTGTTTTTATTATTATATTAACAGCGATTAGGCATTGCGTATATTATTAACCGACAAATATGTATCGTACGTTTCTCTCATTGTTTGGTATCATTACATTGCTTAGATGTTCATTTGCAGGTGAGTATTTCATTTAGAAATACCAACTACGAACACGTATTATAGAATAGATCATATCTAAATATTTTCTTTTTATTTTATATATTAACAGCGACTTTAACTGACAAGCATGACTCTAATGTTTATTTCTGTCTTCGAAAAAAATAACATTCGTTATATATGCAGCTGCCAGTGAGTTTGCTTTAGAAATATCTCACTTTGAAAAAAACAAATAAAGTTATGAAGTTGCGAATCATTGTGTAAGCTTAAATTCGGTATTTTCTTAATATTATCGTCTGAATTGCCATTACTAGTGTCCTAGTTACAGTGAACAAAAATTAAATGCAATAGATAGCTGAAAGAAGTTAGGGTATACGGCAATTAATTTAAATGCCAACTCACTCGTGTTAGTGCGCAGGAAATCAATACTTAACGGGCAGTTATTATTATATTAACAGCGATTAGGCATTGCGTATATTATTAACCGACAAATATGTATCGTACGTTTCTCTCATTGTTTGGTATCATTACATTGCTTAGATGTTCATTTGCAGGTGAGTATTTCATTTAGAAATACCAACTACGAACACGTATTATAGAATAGATCATATCTAAATATTTTCTTTTTATTTGATATATTAACTACAAACAATTATTGATCAGGTTTGGTGAGTCTATAAACATACATGTTTGCTTTGTTCTTATTATTATATTAACAGCGATTAGGAATTGCGTATATTATTAACCGACAAATAAGTATCGTACGTTTCTCTCATTGTTTGGTATCATTACATTGCTTAGATGTTCATTTGCAGGTGAGTATTTCATTTAGAAATACCAACTACGAACACGTATTATAGAATAGATCATATCTAAATATTTTCTTTTTATTTGATATATTAACAGCGACTTTAACTGACAAGCATGACTCTAATGTTTATTTCTGTCTTCGAAAAAAATAACATTCGTTATATATGCAGCTGCGAGTGAGTTTGCTTTAGAAATATCTCACTTTGAAAATAACAAATAAAGTTATGAAGTTGCGAATCATTGTGTAAGCTTAAATTCGGTATTTTCTTAATATTATCGTCTGAATCGCCATTACTAGTGTCCTAGTTACTGACAGTGAACAAAAATTAAATGCAATAGATAGCTGAAAGAAGTTAGGGTATACGGCAATCCATTTAAATGCCAACTCACTCGTGTTAGTGCGCAGGAAATCAATACTTAACGGGCAATTATTATTATTATATTAACAGCGATTAGGCATTGCGTATATTATTAACCGACCAACATGTATCGTACGTTTCTCTCATTGTTTGGTATCATTACATTGCTTAGATGTTCATTTGCAGGTGAGTATTTCATTTAGAAATACCAACTACGAACACGTATTATAGAATAGATCATATCTAAATATTTTCTTTTTATTTGATATATTAACAGCGACTTTAACTGACAAGCATGACTCTAATGTTTATTTCTGTCTTCGAAAAAAAAAATAGCATTGGTTATATATTCAGCTGCCAGTGAGTTTGCTTTAGAAATATCTCACTTTGAAAATAACAGAGAAAGTTATGAAGTTGCGAATCATTTTGTAATATTTGTATTTTCATAATATTATTTCAATGTGATAATTCAAAAGTGGCCCTTGGTATTTTTGTTGACTTTAAGAAAGCATTTGACACAATTAATCATGATATTTTAATTTCAAAGTTACAGCATTACGGGGTAAGGGGACCACCTCTATTTTGGATTTCTGATTATCTCAGCAACAGGTTTCAGTTTGTTTCCTCTGGTGGGTGTGTCTCAAATAAATTACATATACATTGTGGTGTTCCTCAGGGATCAGTACTGGGAGTAGTTATGTTTTTAATTTATATAAATGATTTACCAAGCTCTTCAAATTTTTTTGATTTCAGGTCGTTTGCCGACGATACAAACTTATTTAAATCATTTTCCGGGAATATATTAGATCTCAATGAGGTTAATTGTCAGTTTAAAAAAGTCATTGAGTGGTGCAACGCCAATAAATTAACAATAAATGCCGATAAAACTAATTATATAATCTTTCAGTCAAAAAATGAAGTTGTTACAACTTTTGGCTCCATTAGGATTAATACAAGCTTAATTTCTGAATGTAAATCTGTTTATTTTGTTGGCGTTAAACTCGATAAATACCTTAGTTTCAAAGAACATATATCTGATTTAAACAATAAAATAAAAAAGAGAGCTGGTTTTTTATTTATGTTACGGCACTGTGTCCCTGAGGAAACATTGGTTATGCTTTACAATTCTTTTATTTTACCCAACTTGATTTTTGGTATTGAGGTATGGGGCAGCACCTACGAATCGCATTTAAAACCTTTATTACTCACTCAAAAAATGTGTGCCAGATGTATTACTTTTTCTAAATTTAGGGGTCATTCTCTACCTTTATTTAAAAAACTTAACATTTTAGACGTATTTAAGCTTCATAAATTATACAATTTGAATTTTATATCAGACTTATTTAATAACAGATTACCACATAGTTTATCTTATTATTTTTAAAATATTTGTCATAGTTATGCAACAAGGTTTAATTACGAATATAATTTAGCCATATCAAAATGCCGAACTAATTTAGGTAAATTTAGAATTTCTTATATGGGTGCTAAACTATGGAATACAATACCAGTTAAGTTAAGAGAGACTACCTCGAGGAATGTATTTGTTTCAAAACTGAAAAAAATTACTTAATTCCGAGTATGAAGATTGATGCCTATTTATTTATTTTTATTATTTTATTTATGTATTTATTTTAAAAAACAAAAAAAAACAAAAAAGCAACCTTGAAATCTAAATGATGGATATCAGGCGTTGCGAGACGATTAAATTTAACTTTCCATAGTTAAGTACACCAACTTATGTTGTGGCGCTGTTTGTTTAAAGATATTTTCAGTAATATCTGATATACTACACGAATTCCTTTATCGACAAATTCGCTAGTGTAGCGAGGAATCATTCTGCTACATCTTATCTCATGGTAATGTAGCGCCCTCTATAGTTCCAATATTTTTTTCCAAAACGCTTATTCGTGACGACACCATGACGTACATTATTATTATTATTATTATTATTATTATTATTATTATTATTATTATTATTATTAATATTATTATTATTATTATTATTTTTATCTATGAACAATCAAAACATTATTTTAAATATTATTTACCATTATTCACAACTCATGTAACTTAAAAGCATTGCACGGTTAATTATATTTCTTTTTTATTTCAAATAATATTTTATTATTTTTATAATTGTAATTTTTATTCTTGTTTTATATCTATGAGGAGAAGAATTTTAATAAATCAGGTTATGATATTGACAATTATATTGGAATTTAGAATATTGAATAACACAGAACGCAGTAATTAATTACGGTTAACAGTAAGTCCATATGCATAATATTTCAAGGGTTGAATCTGACAGGAAAGCGTAGATTTAAATTTGAATTAAAACATAATAAGTCAACATCAATATTTTAGATCCTTGCGTTCACCCTTTTGGGGTAGAAAACGGAACAATTCCTCCAAGTCAACTGACAGCATCAATTGAATGTGACAACAGCCATAGACCAATATCGCGGGAGGCGGAATACTGTATATGAGCCCGGCATTGGTTACCGTTACGATTTGAATAGTGCGGGGAATATCCTTAAAATGACACAGATCTATTTATGTGTGTTATTCTATTTTTTTAAGAGAATGAGTGAACCAGACAGAAATGTATGTTAAAAAAGGTTTAATCTCTAAATAAAATTAAAAAAATCATTATGCTCATAGTTTGTATGCTAATTCATGGTTAATCATTTTAAAAGATAAAACATGCCATACTGTTTTTGTGCAACCACAGCATTATTTTTGTATGTATTTCATTATATTTGAATCTAGTTTTATTTTAGTGAGGAAAATAATTAAAATACATCGGGACATGACATCGACAATAGAGAAAACTTGAATCGTGAATAACACCGAACGCAGTATTAGGAATTTACTATTATGAATTACCGTTAACAATAACTCATAATTGGCCAAATATTTTAAGTATTGAATCAAAAAAAAAAAAAAAAAAAAAAACGCTGAGTAGGGAAACGTAGATTTCAATTCGAATTGCAACATAACTTCATTATTCGTAGAGCCTTGCGTTCACCCTCTTGGAATAGAAGACAGAACAATTCAACTGACAGCATCTTCTGAATACAACAATTACCATAGAGCTGATCGTGGAAGACTGAACACTGTACTTGAGTCCGGCATTGGTATTGGATCATGGGTGGCTAATTTCCGAGACCAAAATCAATGGATTCAAGCCGACCTAGGTTCTTTGTTGAAAGTCACCAGACTGATTACACAAGGTCGACAGGATGCAGATCAGTGGGTGACGTCATATGAAGTTCTTTACAGTACTAGTGGCAACTTTGAAGAAATCCTGGACGCCAATGGTCAAGTTGCAGTAAGTTTTTATACCATAAACATATTCATTCTTGAGGGTATACATTGGTGTTAACTGAATTATCAAATATTATTGGTAACTATTTCATAAAAAAATAATATGAGTCTATAGGCCTACATATTAATAATATCAAAACCTTATCAATCTACTGATTAATTTAAGAATACAATTAATTTAAATCTACAAATGGACTATATAAGCCTAACATATGCTGTAATAATGCATCTGTTAAATATTTTATTTTCCTTGTTATATATAAAAAAACATTTATATAATCTGATGTTAGGCCTAATACACAATAATGGCAAATACTTGGGAAAATTCATACAGTAATAATAAATATTAAAATTTGTTTATTGAATTTCATAATTTCATAAAAAATATTTCCATAATATATACTATAAGCAATACCATGAAATAATTTATAATTTGGAAAAAGGCCACCAGTTGCCTTACAAATGTAAAATACTGACTAATGTATAATCGAGGATTCGATATTATTTATAAACTGTTACAATATTTCTGTCATGAGATGAGTGATCCGGTATTGATTAGGTTAGCTTCAACTCCCAGATGTGAGCAGGAGTCCTGCTAACCGTTAGCTGCCGTGTGAGAACATAGCCACAGTCTGTTATCTCAGTATCAGCTACTCTCACACTATCAAGACCTACACTGCGATCGGTACACGACCAACACTGTCGTGGCCAGATAGGTCGTGATAGTGTGATAGCAGCTAAGAACAACTTGCTTGTGAAAGGCAGAGGTCGTGCATGGTCGCGGAGTTTTTGTTGAAACATTTTATTGTGATCGGTACTGGTCGTCAGTCTAATCGTAGTCGCTCTCACACGTGTCGTAATCATTTGGCTAAAGTGGCCATTATTAGTTTCTACCAATAAATGACAAGAGGGCAGGTCCTACTTCC